AGAGTTCACTTAAAGATTTTCCTACCCCTTTCCATAGGGTTGATGTTCCTATTGTGTAGGGTGGTAGTCAATTTTTCCCTAAGGGAGTAGTCAAACCCTCTTACGGGTTTTTTTTTTTTTTACTTTATTTTATATCAGTTTTGCCATGTGTGTTTGGAAGAGGCGAGCCAAGCATCTTCATTCTGCCACCATCTTGCTAGAGTCCTCATCTTTTTGGCCCATCAGCAGCCTTTAATGTGTGATTCACTCTTTCTTCCTGGATATACTTTCTTTACTTGGCTCCATGATTCTACTCTCACTTGATTTTCCTTTAACCTCACTGGCCACCCCCTTCTAGTCTCCATTGCTGGCTTTTCCTCTTTTCCTTGACCAGTTGGAGCCTCCCTTGCATCTCCATATTCCCTTGGTTGATTTCATTTAGTTCTCTCTTCTCATCGATGTGCCAATAATTCCCAAACTTACAGCCAAAGTTCAGGCTTTTCTTCTAAATTCCAGACTCGTATATTCAACTGTGCCACCACATCCTTGATGTTTATAGTATATCATCTACTAATATATAATTTACTTACTTATTATGCTTGATGTATAGTTTCTTGTTCTCACTCCCTTTAGAATATAAACTCACTGAGGACAATATTTTTTTAAGATTTATTTATTTATGCATATAAGAACTGGGGTGTAAGCCAGAGGTGTGGGATAGGGGGTGGTGTGGGTGAGAGGATTCACCAGAGTCAGAGTGGGGAACAGAACAGGTAGATCTGCTGAAATACATTGCTGAGGGGAGCAGCAGGTAAGACAGGAGAGGTCTGCAGCACCATGTGGGTAGCTCCCTAGTCAGCCAGGGATGGGGCTAGAACTCATGCTGCTGTGGCTGGGGACAGCTTGATAGTGCTGTATTTAACCCCTGTGCCACCAGGGAGGGCCCAGCATTTTTTTTTTTTAATGTGTATTCTGAGTGCTTAAAATAGTGCCTGGCATGCTTACCAAGTATTTGGTAAGTATTTGTGTGAACAAATAATGAAGGGAGGGTGTGAAAATATTCATAAGGTCCACTAATAAGGAAAAGCAAGTGGCAGTGAAAGCAGGCAAGGAAAGAAGAGAGGTAATTAGAGAGACTAACTGGGCGGAGGCAGGGAGAAGGTTCGAGGCAGGGAGAAGGTCAGGATAGAGGTGTACACTCTTTGTGCTACTAAGTGTATCCTTTTATCACTTTTATAGCATGAAGGATTTTTATTTCCAAAATAAACTGAACTTAATTTAATAACAACTAATTCATTCCTCCATTTTTATATATCATGACATAATTTAATATTTAATATGCAATTTAAATTTAATATGCAATAAAATTCTGTTCTAGACATTATTCTATTGGTCTACATGGTCAATAAGAGTCTCTGATCTGCATGAGGTTACCATCAATAAAGAAACTGAGATGATAAAATTCCAGCCAAAAGAAAAAAAAAAGGTTTTTGTTGTTTTGTATAACCTTGTTACGGTTTTGAAGAACTTCGACCCAAGGAGTTTGGCTTACTGGACAAGGTAATAGAGTTCATGTGAAATGACTGATTGCTCAGTGAGATGACTGAGTAGATTTCTATATTGGCCCACTGCCTACTCATTACTCAGACACATGCACAATAAATATTTATTGTTATATATCACTGTTTCTGTGATTGTTACATGGCAAAAGCTAACTGATGCATTCTGTCTCCTCACCCCACTGCTTATCTGACAGAAACCTCCTATTCCAAAAGAATTGCTTTTATCCCAGCCCATGCCAAGCTTCTTCTCATCCTCATGCATTTGCCTTTACAGTATCTCCCACCTAGAATGGCTTCTCCATTTACCCTAAACCTGCCAAAATTGGATGTGTCTCGCTGTAAAGTCTTCCCTCACTACTCTCACCCACTACCATGTTTTAGGCTTAATGCTTGAAAATATTGTAAGTCGGGCACAAATTTGTGTTGGAATCCTAGCTTGAGCATTTAACTGGTGGTATGACTTTGTGTTCTTATTATTTCTTCATCTGAAAAAAGGAGAGAGTTTTTTGAGGATAAAATAAAACTATCAAGTCCCTGTCATATGTACACATACTCATCCAATACTTGTTTTTATAATTGGTGGCTCTTCCTTTTATTTTCCTAGTCTAGTGCCCAGAACATTACAGAAACAATTGGTTCATGCTCACACTCCCTGACAATTTACATTCTCACTCAGGGTCCTGTGAGCATATACACTCCTCAAAAGAGCATTTACACTCCCAGTTCTTGTATGCATAAATGAATAAATCAATCTTTTTAAAAAAGAGCTTTTATACACCTAAGGTAGTGGACAGGTTCCCCCTTCAGCTCCTAGGAATGCAGCCCTTGCTGGTTAAGCTCAGCAGTCAGTTCTCTTTGAGGATTGCCTCCACTGAAAAAACTTCCTCACCAAAAGTCACACCTCCTTCCAGGGCAGCCCTTACTCAAAGACCAATCACATGGCACAGAGGCCAATCTGAAATGCCACCCCACCTTCAGAGCTCTCAGCTGAGAACTTTGTTGGGACTGCCCTGCAGCTCAGCTTCTCCCTCTGTTCAACCCTTCTTCTTATATCTCCCCTCTATAGGTGTGGATCTGAAGTGTGCACTTTAATGAAATACCCTGCCTCCTAATTTCCATCTCAGAAGGCTTCCTGAGAACCCAACATATAGCAGAAATTTAAGATCCAAGGAGGAATTCTGGAATTCTTTCTCTTTGAAATGAAGATTAAACCCAAATAGAACATAAAGTATCATTTGTCAGGAATAATTTTTAGGTCTAGATTTTCTAGGTCTTTAGAATATTTTGTATTTGGTCCAATGCCATAAGTAAAGGAGGGAAGGAAGGAGACCCCAGACTCAACAGAGGTTCTTAACGCAAGGTCCAATGATCAATCTATAGGAGTTCATGAATAGAATTGGAAAAAAGAAATCCATTTTTATTTCCAGTCATTCCTAATTGATATTTAGCATTTCCTTCCATTTTTATATAGTCAAGAGTACAGAAGTACTAGTAAATTTGCCACTAGTAGAACTCACAGATATCCTCATATCACACTGTAATCACTGCAGATATCTCCAAATACTGTTTACAATCCTCATGATTTTGAAATTTCAGTAACTAGCTGTCCTACCATAGGCTCCACTGCTGTGCTTTGCTAGTTAATGTGGTTAAAAATAAACACATTTATTACTCCATAGATTTCTGCTTTAATATTTTTATCTGCCTTTCAGCATAATTTACTTCCTTGCCAATCCTGTGGATTTTAATTAATACATTTAAAAATATTTTAAAATACTTTTAAGAAAAGGTCTTTTAGACAAATTAGTGGTTACCAGAGGGAAGGAGGTCAATTCTGTGGTGAAAGATAGAACTGAATTTTGACTGAACTTAAGGTAGTACAGACACATGCTGATGTACAGTGAGGCACACCCAACCAGAAACTAATAAAACATTACAATGCAAAGTTACTTCGATTAAAAAAAAAAAAACAAAACACCTTAGGGGACTCCCTGGTGGCGCAAGGGGCTAGAACGCAGCCTATGAAGCTGTCCGCAGCCACTGCAGCATGAGTTCGATCCCGGCCAGGGTGCTACCTACATGGCACAGCAGACCTCTCCAGTCTCGCCAGCTGCTCCTCTCAGTCTACCTGTTCTGCTCCCCACTCTGTCTCTGGTAAGTCTTCTCACACCGCCCCCCACACACACCTCTGGCCTGTACCCCAGTTCTTGTATGAATAAATAAATAAATCCTTAAAAATATACCTTAAATAAAAGGGGAGAATTCAGTCTTCACCAGACTGTCCAAGAGGCGCGCGGTGTGTGTGTGTGTGTGTGTGTGTGTGTGTGTGTGTGTGTGTGTGTACCAACAAGGGCCTGGCTCGCCGTGGGTCAAAACTTTAAGGACCCATTCTTTTTAGGCAGAGCAGACAATCTCCACGTGGGTGTCGTCCGAGGCCAGTCTGCCCCAGCCAGACTACTTAGCTCAGCCATTTCACCGCGAGGACAGACTCCAGCCGCTGTTTGTGTAGCTGCCCCCACTTCTGGAATGCGCACAGCTTTATATGAAATCCACATGGTGCGGGGCCGGGAAGGCGGCGCACGAAAGGACTTCCAGTTGACAGCGTCCTTCGGTCAGCCTGGTTCTGAGAAGGCTCCAGAGAGCTAAAGGTCACCTGGCCTCGTTCCCCATTCGCCGCACTCCCTCCCCTTCACCCCCCACTGGTGACAGTGTTCGGATACAGGAAATTGGATCACCGGGACACTTTGCTTCCCCGGTCCTGAACTCTGGACTGAAAGGCGCTCAGTCAGAGATAGAACGACTGCTGGAAACAGCTGGAGTCCACACACACGAATGCAGGGTCTGTCGGATAAATTCCCCCGGGGGAGCGTGCGGATGGGCCGCCTTTTTCCAGCCCCGGCACCCACAGGATTCCCAGGACCCGCACGCCGACTGCACGCCGGCTCTGGTCATGCCTGCAGAGGTTGCGCGCACCCGCCTGGCTCCCTCTGGGCCGGGTCTCATAGCCAAAGTGGCGGGACGGGACAAAGGCGGGACGCGAACCGACCTCCACGCGCGATGTTGCCCGTGGCGGCCGGGAGGAACCTCTGCCCGCGGTCTCCGGGTCTCCGTGGCCCGCGGTCCCAGGTCCCAGCGTCCTGCAGGGCGCGCGCGCGCGCGACCGCGCAGACGGGGCGGACTCCCCAGACCCGAGTGCTTCTCAGGCGACAGTGACCTGGCGGTGGGCACTTGGGCTTGCAGACCCAGCGCGGAGCCCCTCGGGCTTGCAGACCCAGCGCGACACTCCGCGCACCCGCGGCCAGCGGGTCCGGGTCCCCGCCCACGACGCCCACGTCCGTCCGGCTCCTCCGGCGCCCCCGGCCCGCCCGGGCCTTCCTTCCGACGCCCGCGCAGCCCCGCACACCCTCCCCTAATCCCCTCCCGCCGCCTGTCCCCACCTCCTTCCCCGGGTGGACTCACGTAGATCGAGTAGATGTCGGATTTGCCGAATAATTGGAGCGCCCCGCTCAGCTCTAGGGCAGGGGAGACCTGGTCGTCCCCGGCCTCCAGCTCCACGTCCCCTACTTCGGGGCCGAAGGGAAAGAGCCCCTGGCGGCTTAAACAGCTCCCGGGCCCCGCCAGCAGCATCTGCAACAGCAGAGCCCGCGTCCACGCTGCCCCGCTCCGGCGGATTGCGGTCAACATGGTCCCCAGCTGCTGTCCCGCAAACCCCGCGGCTCGGCCGCCCGAAACTGAGGAAGGCGGAGATGTAACCGGACGCCCCTCGGCAGCCCCTCCACCTCTCCCGCCTCCCGACGTTCTAACCCCGGGAAATAGGGGTGGAGAGCCGAGGGGAGATGCGGAGCGCCCCGCCCCGTCCACAGGGCGCGCCGCTGAGGCTGTCCAATGACCAAGAGGGGGAGGGCGAGGGGCGACGAGGAATCCCCCAGGCGGTCGTGAAGCATCGCCCTAGTTCCCTCAGGGCAGTGGGCGCTGGTGGCAGCGATTCCTGAAACCAACTCGGTTTCCCCTGAACGCCCCTCCGGGAGTTGGGAGCGCAGCGCCAGGCTCTGCACCATTGTCCTCTGGTCTGGGCTAATTCGTGGAGAGGACGCGGAAATGCTCTGGATTCGGGAACACAGCCACCCCAGTGCTGCCTCCCATCCGGTGGGCAGGCTTGCAGGGTCAGACTCTGGGAGGAAGAGGGGGTAGGTGTTGGGACTTTAGCAGGAAGGCACCGGGCCTGGAGCATGGCAATTAACTCAACCTTCTACTCTTCCCACTTTGAGTGATGTGTTCATGTGGAACTTTGCCCTGAAACAGGGTCTCACCCTCCAAGACAAAGTCAGGAGTGTGGAACGAAATGCAGTGTTAAGTGGGGTTTCCACTTAAGGACAGGGATGCTGGCATAATTGCCAAGGACAGCTTCGTGTGGGATAGAGCGAGGGATCAAACCAGGTGTTCTGGAAAGGATGCAATTTCATCAGGTAGCTGGAAAGGGAAGCTGTAAAATGGAGGCTGGGGGTGTTAGTTGTGCGTGGATTCAAGGTACCATTCCCCAGCTGGGCGTGTGGAAAAGGGCTGTTCCAGGCAAAAATTTTAATACTAAACCTAAGAATTTGAACTCTCACCAACAGAGAAACACTATTGAGAGTGCTTAACAAAGGGAGATAAGCGATTTAAGTTGCACTCTAAATAATCGGTTGATCATTAATTTGAAAGTAAAGATGGGGAATTCATCAGAGACCTGTTGAAAAGGGAAGAAAATAGGGGAAAGAAAAGAAAAGGTGAAAAATGAGATGAAGAGATGTTGCAGTGGTAGAAGGAATATGAACTTGCTATCAGAGAGAAAGGATGTTAAAATCGGGTGCCTGCAAGATTGGAAAATCAGTGCTGTCTTATGAAGCCAGGGAAGAGGAGCTGGGGGAGTGGGAACTGGATTTATGTTTGGTGTCAGAGGAGTCAACAGGGCATCCCCATTGCCTGTTGCCAGCTACAATTAAGGCCCAAACACCGAGCTTGGAATAATTCTAGTACACAGCCAGTTCTGTCTAGTACTTAGGAGCATGAGTAGGTTTGAAGAAAAAGCCAAGGAAACAACTTCCAAAGGGTTTTCTCTACTTACGACATCTCATCTTTCCTTTAAATTCATTAGCCTTCGGAGATCACATTTATCAAGTTTCTACAGGGACTAGTCTGTTTTGCAATCATATTTATCTTAGGAGACAAAGATCATCCCCATTTTAGAGAAGAGAGGCATAGAGACCCAGGAGATTTAAATCACTTTGTTAAAGGTCACACCACCAGAAGCCTGCACAAGACCCAGTTATCCAGCTCCAGGCACCGCACTCTTTGACCACTGTTAAGCAGTCTTTGTTTTGCTACATTTTTCCTCTTGTTGTTAGACTGCCTTATACTGCTTGCAGTCTGTTGCCAAATCTCTTGATTTTTCCTGAGTTGAAATGCTCCTAGACCCTAATGCACCCCAGAAGCATTCCTGACTCTACCTGGGGTGATAGGTGGCTTCAACTCACACCATCCTTCCCTGGGCTTCTGGGCTCTGGTCCTGACCATCCCCGCAGCCCGGAACTCAGTACAGAGGCTCTTCTTAGTCTTCTGTGCTCACCAGCACACGTCAGTCCCCAAACTCCCAGCCTGTGCAATCCTAGCCTTTCCTACCTGCACCTCAGGCTCTCCTCCTTCAAACCCTGTCCCACCTTTTGTCACATTAGAGGTCTCTGAAGCTCTTGCTTGTGCCTGGAATGCTGTCACCCCTCTCATGCATTCTCTTCCTTTTTGGTACTCAGACAGCTTTTGAACTCCTATTGGTTCATGGAATTTTCCTTGGCTACTGCAGGAGCAAGAACAGCTCTCCACTGCTGGTTCAGAGCAACGCCTGGATCCAGTCTATCTGAGGTCTGGGCTTCACTCCATTTACCAGCCCATATACTTGGACAGATTTCTAAATCTCAGTCTCCCCTCATGTGCGTATATTCATGCCTACCATCAAAGGATTGGTAGATTAAATAAAGTGATACATGAAATGTTCCTAGCTGACAGCTGGGTACACAGTTAGTGCTTATTACATTAAGCCAACATTATATCTCTGATTTTTGTGATTCTTATGACTATATTTACTAAGGTCCTACCATCAGTCAGACACTGTGTTAGGAATATGAAGTACAAGACCATGAAGACATCATCCCTTTTGCATCCATTGGAGAAACAGACATAACAGTTACTTGGTGGCTGTTTAACAGATACACATAAGGCAGTGATAGACACAGATTATGGAATGCCTGCTCCTGTTAGATGTTTAATAGAGCATCAAATTTTATACTAGTAATCTTTGCACAGCTAGTTGTTTATAGTAAGTTTGGGGAAGTGAGGTTTGCACAGGTTAGCTAATATGGCCATTTTCATAGTTTGCAAGGGAGCAAGGGTTTGAATCCCAGTGTATCAGAAATCAAAGCTATTATTTTTTTCTTCTATACCCTCTTGTCTTTCTGTAGGAGAGGGTTCTTTCTCAAATTCTAACGATAAGATATATTTGCTGTTATTTATACAGAATATTTATCCTCTATTTACAAATGCTTCTGTTCCCTGATTTCATCACAATGGTCTTGGTTGAGAAAGTCTAGTATATACTGTAAACTATCTGTCCCTTCCTATTTATAGCTCTACCCTCCCTGCACATTTGCTCCGTGCGTGCTTAGGGGACGTGATATCTATACTGTGCCTCCTATGAGGACAATGTGGGCCATGTGCCAGTCACTCCTTGAGAATTTATACTTTCAAGATACATCGAGTGTGCAATCACCATCCTCATCACAGAATTCTTAACTTTATATTGTGATCTGGTCATTTTCAAAGTGTATGTAATAAGTAGGTATATCCCTCGATTCGATACATGGGTTTTTCTCCAGAGATACGCTCTTTGGGGGGCTCTTCATATGTTCTATTTTTTTCCCCAAAGTTCACAGAGCCTACACCAATACTTCAGACACATTAATAAAAGTTAACAGTCTGAGAAGTCAATAGTACTTTTGATATTTGCAGGAACATATACACCCACAATTACATTACACCCCAGTTTGGTGTGTTGTTTTTTTTTTAGTTGCTCCTTGTACTTTTGAGACTTCTACTCTTTCATTGACTGTTGTCACCCAGATGAGGCAGGAAGAAAAATTTAGGAAACAGGCTGTTTTTATAACAAGTGAAAGTAACATCTCTTTTGGCTTAACACACTTTTGGCTTAACACACTTTTGGTTGATTCAGATAAAATCCAGGTAGTTGAGTGGGAAAATCACTCTATTGGCTAGTTTACTGAAGGGGGCAGGCATTCTAATCTGACTCTCCCCTTTGTTTAGTATATGCCACTGAGACCTCAATGTGTTAGTATTTCAATTCAATGGAATTCCTCTAGTGTGTGAATAACGTGATTGCTATTTTAAACAACTTAAGCTCAATTCTTCTATAAGTAGCATAAATTAAATGACCATCCCTGAACAAAGAATGGCACTCAAACAGAATTTGGTGCTCCATTTATTATATTTTCAAATGATATTTGGATAAAAAGTGTTTGGTTTGGAAGTGTGCCAAAATGTCAGGATAAAGTTTAATCCTTCTAAGTCCTCTTTTCTGCCAGATGCTTTGCGGGTTCATTATTATCAGACCTCCAGCATTAGCTGACTGCGTCCACTTGCCTTTTGTTGTGTTGTGATAGTATTTTATCTTGACATATACTTTTTCTCTCTCTCCATGTCTCTGTTTTGCTTTCTCTCTTTACACGCACACACACACACACACACACGCTCTTCTCTGCACACGTGCATGCACACATGTACACATATTTTTATCTAGACCCTTTTAGGGTAAGTTACAAACTTTGCCTCTGCAAACATTAGTGTATGTTTCTAAACATAGAAACATTCTCTTACACAGTCACAATATTATTGCCAAAATTAGGAAATTAGTGTTGATGCAATACTCTAACACAACTTGCAGATCTTACTTAGAGTTCACCAAATGTCAAAACAATGTCCTGTAACAGCAAAAGAATATCCCAGATTATAAATGGCTTTCAGTTGTCATGTCCTTTTAGCTTTTTTAATGTGAAAATGTTCCTCAATCATTCTTTATCTTTCATGACCTTAATATTTTTAAGAGTACAGATCAGTTATTTCATAAATTATCTCAATTTGGGGTTATCTGACATTTTCTTTATTAGAACAGATTTTTGCATAAATTTTGGTGGGAATACCATGAAAATGATGTCGTGTCTCTCTCAGGCATATGATGTCCTTTGGCCCTGCTGATGGTGGTGTTCACTTTGGTCACCAGGGATAGTCACAGCACCTAGATTTCTCCACTGTAAAGTTACTGTATTATTCTTTCTCTCTCTCTTTTTTTTTAAAGATTTATTTTATGCATACAAGAGCTGGAATGTGGGCCAGAGATGGGGGTGAGGGTGAGAGGATTCACCAGAGACAGAGTGGGGAGCAGAACAGGAGGATTGACTGAAATATGCTGCTGAGGGGAGCAGCTGGCGAGACAGGAGAGGTCTGCTGTGCCATGTGGGTCAGCTCCCTGGCCAGGGATCGAACTCATGCCTCAGTGGCTGCTGATAGTTTCATAGTGCTGAAATTTAATTCCTGAGCCACCAGGGAGGCCCAGTATGTATTGTTCTTTATAATTAATATGTATGTTGTGGGTAGTTAATCTGAAAATGGAAATATCCTGTTCTTCATTAAACTTTTTTTTTTTTAAAGATTTATTTATTTATTTATTTATACAAGCACTGGGTACAGTCAGAAGCACGGGAGGG